TTTTTTTTTTTTTTTTTTTTTTTTTTTTTTTTTTTTTTTTTTTTTTTTTTTTTTTTTTTTTTTTTTTTTTTTTTTTTTTTTTTTTTTTTTTTTTTTTTTTGGTATTATTGGGTCTGGTAAGTTTTGTCTTTGAATGTGTGAGATCTCGTATTAGTAAACGCGTTTTAAAACTGTGAGGTTTATGACAATACGTAATGGATCAAAGCAACCGGGGGTGTTCGGAAAGAATTCGGAAAGAACCGAGAGGAGGAAAAAGAAAAAAGCGAAATTTGAATGAGGCTTTAAATTACTTTACATGCAAGAAACCAAAAATAAAATCAATCACATTTGCAATTATTTAGTCTCCCACAAATTTTCGTTTCAAATTTAAAGAACAATCCTCACTTTCTTTTCTTCTTTCTTGCCGTTGACCGACCACTTCTTTTGAATAATTTATAAAGACCCATTTTTTTAAAAACCCAAATCAGTTTTAGTAATTACAAAATGAGTGGTGGTAGTGAACTTCACTCTCTATCTCTTTTCGATTCCTCGCCCTTGGGCTTTGCAGTTATGGATGCCACCACCGCCGCCCTGGACTCATCTTTCATGCCGGCGATTTCCACCGGATATTTGGAAGATGCGTTGGTTGATTACAATCCCAAACGACGGCGTTTGGGTCATCATCTTGTTGAATTCGAATTCCCACAGAGGTACTGGAGTTCATTTTGCACATGGGGTGGAGATGCCCTTGAGAGTTTCGATTGGAACAACAACCAAATTGATGATATGAATAATTTTACAGGTGGGTTTTTCTTTTTTTCTTTTTTTAAATAATTCAATTTATAATTAAACAATTGAATTGGAACTGAATTGGGGTTTTGGTGTTCATTGGTTTAAAGCAGAGGAAGGAATAAGCACTTCGCCCAAAAACAGAGTCCTCAAAACGCCGCCGGAAATCGAACCGTTTTCCACTCCAAATTCCTCCGCAGGTCTTTACCTTTTTTCTTTCCAACTTCCTCTCAAAAATTTTAAAACGTGTCTAACAGAGACAGATTTACAAACTCTCCTCATCGATTTACCTTTTCGGGACCCAGCGTGCTCGAGGGCACTCGTGGGATCTTACAAGAACGGTTAAAGAATTTGAAAGTTATTGGGTGTTTTGACTTAATTTTGGGGTATTGTTGAAATTGAGCAGGGAGTGGAAGTGAAAGGAAGAAGAGGAAGAAGAGGAAGGTGGTGTATCCATTTGCATTAGTGAAGCCAGGAGGAGTAGAAGGGGATATAACCTTAAACGACATAAACAAGAAGATGCTAATGCCTCCGACACGGGCGGTCCGACACCCGGTGGGGGATTTTGCGTGCCGGCCGTACGTAACGGCGGAGGGACGGGGTCTGTCCGGCAAAGCGGTGGTGGCGTTGACGAAAATCCATACTCAAGGAAGGAGAGGGAGCATCACCATTATCAGAACAAAGGGTTAAGAATGGATTGAATATCATTACTTTTGGTTGAATTGTACAGAGACAAAGAAGAGAGAGGTTCGTTAATGAAGACACCTTTTGGTCATTCCCAAACTCATAAAGAGAAAGTGTCTTTTTTAAACAACTTATACTTAGTAACAGTGAAATAAAGTATTCTTTACAAAGGTACGAAAATTTCTCTTTAAATCACGAAGCTAATGATGATATGTAACGAGCTAAAGCTAAAACGGACAATATTTAATAGCAGTAGACTTGTAACATTTATTTGAAAAGTTTGGGGACAATATCCAACACATGGGCCCTTCCCCTCTGCTCCACTCTATGAAGTTGCTCCAAATTCCTTAGCTTTCACCTGACCTAATCGCATCGAGTTCGAGATACATAAAACTATGATATCTCGTAAGAATAACCACCACCAACAACGTTAAAACATAGATATAAGATTAAATTTATGCATACAATTAAAAAAGAAGGTTCGTATTTAATCATAAATCTATAAATTTCATAATAATTCATACACGATTTCAAAATATGAACTTATTCACATATCAATTTTTATGTAAAATTACATAATTTAATTCTATTTAAAACATATTTAATAGATGTCTCGGATTAATTTTATTTTTTTCTTTTATTTATAATTTTATTTTTTTCTTTTATTTATTTTGATACTTTCTAATAAAATTTCAAAAATTTCAAAATTCATAAAACATATTTTTCTTTTTGAAATTTGGATATGAATGATTTAAATGGTGAAAAAAAAAACAAACAAACACAATTTCCAAAAACTAAATAATTAGGAAAAAAATAAGATAAAGCTTTTAATCTTAATCTTGTCTTTTTATTGAATATAATAAATATTTGGATTGAAGTGACAAATCTTTAAATTTTTAATATTTAAAAAATGTAAATTAATGGACTAAAAAAAATAATATAATCTAAATCAACCAATATAATTTGGATGGAATAATTTGAATTCCAAACATTTCTATCAGCCTCATGATTATTATATATTTGAAAACCGGATTCTGTCGTGTCACATGCCAACCATTAATTTCTTTTTCTTTTTTTTTTTCATTATTTTAATTCAGCAGCCAAAAAAAGAAAAAAAGAAGGAAAAAAAATTATTTACAAAAATAAAGGAAATCCTAGATATGCGTGAGAGAATGTCGGCTTCTTTTGCTTTATTTTTTTATTTTTTTTATTTTTTTAAGGTTGAAAATTTTAATCGTAAAAAATATATATATATATATTATGAATGACGTCATAGAGGTATCTATGACGTTGGATAACACTATGAGTATGGACGACATTAGCGAATATAATGGGCCAAGGCCTTGTTAGCTTGGGCTCAACCCAACTTGAGTTCGTTTAGCCTTGACTTACAAATATGGGCTTTAATGGCCCAAAAATCAACTCTTGATGGGTGATTCCATGTGACACGTAGGACTACCTTCAAACTTTTTATTGGGATTTATGTTAATTATTTTATTGCAATTTAATAGTATAAAAATTTCAAAATTATTAGTTTAATTTTGAAGAATATATTATGACGTAATAATTTAAAGGGTTGTTTCGTAATTA